ACCAGGAGAGGCCTGACCAGCGCGGCTCTGCGCCTGTGTGCAGGCTCCGTGCTCTGGACTCACCACCAAATATACCTGTCCCCTCCGCTCCTTCACCTGCTCCCACAGGTGGAGACGAGAGAGGGACGGGGAAGAAGGAAGGAGCTGAGAGAGTTCGTAAAAAAAGTGGAGGGACAGAGTCGTCGCTGGGCACCTCCTCTTTGTTCAGGAAACTGCGGAGCTCCAGCAGAGGGGAGCTGGATGGAGGGAAAGGAGACAGTAGCGAGGACAGTGGACGAGGTGCACCGGATGTCGCCTACAAGCCATGGGTTTGTCCCAAAAGCTTTGTTCACTTCGATGCACAGAGTATCCTCTTTGATCTTCACGAAGCAGCAGCTCAGCGAGGATACGTCACCCAGAGGAGGAACACAGCCACGGGAGCTTCTGCTGCTTCAGTCTCCCTCTCTGTGTCCAGGTCTGTGGCCAGTGTCAATGAGCCAATTTACTCCAGCATCGAAGACCTCACCCTCAGCCAGGACCCTGCCTCCACAACACCCTCCCTGAGCCTGGACCCTCTGGACGGGCCTGTTGGAGCCCACAACCCTAGCCCACTTCTCCTGTGCTGCCCACACTTCCTTAATGAGACTGGGGGTCACGGGGAGCGTAACATCAGCTTCCTCAGTTCTTCTGCGGAGCGAGGGGGAGATGGTGGCGGAGACGGTAGGCGAGGGTGGCTGAGGAAAAGCAACGCCAGCGTTTCGGTGCTGGAGGTTCCTATAGAGCAGCAGGTTACCAGACTGGACAGACTAAAACTGTACAACATAGAGCATGTGGACATGGGGGCTCAGTACTACAGAGAGTACTTCCATGGAAAAGGTAAGGCTCTCTCTCACACCTGGACACAGTGATGCATATTTCTGTTGGTTCAGTTTCAGTATGTTCTACAAACCCAGTGGTTCCCAAACCTTTTTGCAGAACCTCCTTTTTTAGATGCTGTCTATTGCTGTGAAACTGTGTCAGGATCAGATTAGAACACTGTGTCACACACAATTTGACCATTGCATTTAACCTATCCAGTCCACATTAGTACTAACCTAACACATGTGAAGCTCTGGTGGGCCGCATAGAATGATGTGATGAGCCAGAGTCGGCTCCCGGGCCTTAAGTTAGACACGTTGGTTAGAGGTGAAAGAAAATTTATGAGTGAGTGCATAAATGTTGCTTTGTTAAATAAACTCAACCACAGACATCTTCAGTGACATCAGATTAAATCTGTCTAGTGTTCTCAGGTAATAATTACAATTTTCTCTTATACAACAGTGTCACTAAGACTGAATGTATTTGTAGAGAAATCTTCCCTGGTGTTAATTTTGTGCATCAGTGTTACTTGTCTGACTCATGCTACACCTCACATGTCATGATGAGTCTAGTAACATCCAGCTGGACCAAAGCAGAGCAGAGCGGACTGGCACGGATCCCAGAGATTTTTTTTTACCTCACACCTACCTGCCACTGTTGGCAAAGCTGAGCCGAGCTGATGATAATCCACCTGCCACTGCCTGCATCGCCCAGTGTACACACACTGATCTAAGTTTCAGAAACTATACTATACTGTACTATATGTCAGGACAGCTCTCATTAACATCAGCTCTTATCTGACCTCATCCTTAATTAATGACAGTAGATGTTAGGAACACACGCCAGTCAGAGAGCGAGGCCTGAGGCTTAGGAGATAAAGGTTATCATTCCAAATATATGTTCACGGTGCCAGCTCTTTCCCACCTCACTGATACTGTGGGTGTGTGATACATGTTTGTAGTGACGTGCCCTGTGTACATGTCAAAAACAGCCTCGTCAGACTGACAGGTTCGCCACAGGACACAGTCTTGTCCTGCTCCGTTCATTTCAGCCTACGACAGCGTTGGCATTAGAAGAGCTTAGCTTAAGCACTTCAGACGAGGACATTAGAGACATTTATTAGGGACAATGATTTAGTCCCAGCCTCTCACTTACTTACTTACGACAGTGTTGTGTTACAGCAACACTGCTGACTTGGTGCAGAAACTGTGCACTGACTCCATTTGTAAATTACTTAGGTTTGTTAGGCTGAGAAAATCGTTTTATAACTTCTGCCTTCTTTAAAATCTAACATGAAGTTTGAATTTTTTAAGTTTATTTTTAAAGAAAACAAAAAAAATTAGTTAAAAGTTTAGTTTAGTTAAGTCTGGGTTCTAAATTACCTACTAATTTTTAAAAAATAAAATAATATGATTTCAACAAAGCCAACTGTTGTCCTTGTCCTCACCCGCTATTGTGTTAGCAATGCAATATTTTCAAACAGTTTCACCGTTAGAATACGTGGTTGTTTCTAATCCCTTTGGGTCATGTGATCAGTGTGTCCTGAGTCTTCACTGAGAACTTCTCACAGAAGTTTTTATGGTAGCAAGTTGCTAAATTGTTTTCTTCATCTGCTGTTATTTTCTTGTTTTGCCCCCTCCATTGGAATGCTCCAGCACCCCCTAGGTTTTCCTGCTCTCGCTCTCAGAGTTTATTGATGTTAGTTTGTTCCTAAAAATCACTTGTTTTTTTCTTCTCCCATTAGAACATGGAATCTTGAGGTTTATTGTATTATTATTATTATTAATAAAACCCATATTTGACCATAGGTGTGAATGTCAATGGAAATGATTGTTGGTTGCCCTTGTGACGGACAAGTAACCCAGAAATGGTCTACGTCACAAACTAGTAGAGGGTGCATATACACATAATTGACTTTACACTGACAGTCCTTTTAACTAAAATACAGTTTATGTTTGTGTTGTCTGCAGATACATTCATCCACAGTCTGACCTTGTTGTCCCTGTGTTTTACCAGAGCACTCTAACTACTTTGGGACAGACGATAAACTGGGCCCTGTGGCAGTGAGCATCCGAAGGGAAAAGCTGGAAGACACCAAAGACCTGAAAGACCAGTACCAGTACCGCCTCATCATCAGAACCAGCGAGGTAAAGCTGCTGTTGATGTTTATCATGCGAGAGTGAGAGAGAGACACACACAGTGAGACAGAGTCCCTTGTCTGACTCACTCAGGTTAATGCCTTGCCTACTTTCATCTAACCAAGCCTCCCCACCTGTGACTCTTCTCACCCTCTCTGTACTGATTAGGACCTCACCCCTCTCACTCTTTGCCACCCCGCCCCACCTCTAGGATGGAAAATTCCACCTGCTCTGACTCAGCAAGGCAAAGGCAAAGGCAAACAAAGCACTACTCTGCCTTAAGTGTTTGGTCTGCTGTGAAAAAGAGGAGCAGCCAATCACGTTTGTTCATTTGAGGATCAGGCATTTGTCAAAGAATTGTCAAAGAAGAGTCTTTGTCTGCCTAGTGATCAAATCTTACAGTGCGATATATCTATATCTATCCTTCTATATCTAGATACTGTAGATATACAGTATATATACACACAGTATATATATTTACTGTATATATATACATATATACATACATATATACATACATATGTATGAATATATACATATATACATATATATATGCATACATATACTGTATATACATATGTATGTATCATCATTCATTTTTCAGTCTCTTTCCTTCTCTCTCTCTCGCTCCCTGTCTCTCTCCCTCCCTCTCCCTCTCCCTCTCCCTCTCCTATGTGTGGTATTTGATTGTCCGTCTTGTTTTTACAAGTCTTAGACGGCTGCCTGGCCAAATCACTCAGGCTTCGGTCCAACAATGGAGCCCCTTAGCCCTTAGCCGTCTATGTCCACAGAGCTGAGATAACAGACACCACCGGGGCCACCAGAATAATGTTCCCACACATGCACAATAAAAACCAGGAGAACAACTGCAGCCTGTTTGAGCTGCGACCTCTCTGTCCAACATCCACACCGTTCTGTCCATCTGTGGAGCAGAGCTGTGGTGGATAAAGTTCCTTCTTCCCCCATTACACTTTCATACACTTTCACCCAGGCTGTAGTACAGAAGCTGAGAACTTCAAACAAAAGCTCCTCAACGCTTGCTGCGCATCTCTCAGGTTTCAGTTGCCAGCAGCCGATCCGGGTCTCAGAGATCTGACCGTCTCTTCAGTCCCCTCAAGCTTCATAGTCATGCATTTTTTATGAGTGTGTGTGTATAACTGAGGTTATTATAGATGCCCTGTTTTGAAGCAGGTCAATTATCCCTCAGCAGGGCGAAGCTCTTTGTGACAACACAACGCTGAGGAGAATAGTAAAACATGACACTGTCGGCTTTTAACACAACAAAACCAAACTGTTCATCTCAACATCTGCGTCTCTTCCTTCATACAGTTGGTGACACTGCGGGGCTCTATTCTAGAGGATGCAGTGGCGTCCACTGGAAGACACGGCACAGTGCGCGGCCTGCCTCTCAAAGAGGTCCTGGAGCAGGTGGTCCCTGAGCTCAATGTCTCCTGTCTGAGGCTGGCTCTCAGCACTCCCAAAGTCACCGAGCAGCTGCTAAAGCTAGACGAACAAGGGGTGAGTGGTGGAAGTTGTCAACGAAAGACGAGTCAGAAACCAATGTGACGATTTTAATATCGGTGCGAAGTACAGAATTGGGCAGAGAGCAGTCAGAGCTGTGTTTTTGAGTGTGTACAGCTGTAAAAGTTTAATGTTTAACCACATCATCTTTGCCTGTTTTTAAAGAGGATGTCATGCTAGGCAGTGATGTTTGTTATACGGGTACTTTGTACAACAATGAAACTGCCCACTCTGTGTGTGTGTCATGCTGAAACATCTACAGTAACAGATGGAGGAATCTGACATTCCAGTTGTTTGCTTCAGATACGTGTCCTTCTAACGTGACTGTTCTCCCTCCTCTGCCTCCTAGTTAAGTCAGAAGCACAAGGTGGGCGTTCTGCTGTGTCGTGCCGGCCAGAGCACAGAGGAGGAGATGTACAACAATGAGGAGGCGTCGCCTGCCTTCTCAACCTTCCTGGAACTGCTGGGGGAGCAGGTGCTCCTCAAAGGATTCAACAAATATGCAGCACAACTCGACACAAAGAGTAGGCACCGCCGTCTCTCTCAGAAATTTAGATTCAGTCACAGTCAGTCGGAGAATATCTGTGGGGAACAGCTCCAAGTGAATGGGTTAAACAAACCAATCTCTGATTTATCTGCCTAATTTAATCGCTCTATTACTATTATAGTTCCATTCTGACAAGTACAGTTTGTCAAGGACTTTCTTTTCACCAAATGAGTTAATTAAAAACAGTTTGTCCTGCAGAGTGCGAAAGAAAAACAAACACTCACACCTCCTACTGTGGCAGCATCAGAAGGACAGTTCACACACAGATTTTTAGTCTTGAAAGGCATTACATTTTTAAAGTAAATTCAAGGCATATTAAGATGTCTGAAATCAGTCAATTCAAATACTTAAAATGAAATAAATGCCAATATCTCTATAGTTTTTTTGTTGTTTCCACAGTCAAGATACACATAGATGTACATTTAAAGCTAGCAATAACATCACCTAACAATGGGTCAGTGTTATATTAACAGAAGTTAGCTTCTGCCACATTACTTAATATTATTTATAATTAATAATAATATTATTATTTATTAACACTTAACATGTTTGTTGTTAAATTTCACAGAAATATCTCTTTCATTAAGCTGCAGTAACCCTAACAGTTTGGATTTCACCTCAATGTTTTTAGAGGAAAAGCAGCAAATCAGAGTTATAAGTAGTTGAAGACAAAAACAAAAACTTCTTAAGAACTGTCATCCAAAGGCGGAAGAATCGTACCAAAACTGTCCTGTAAAAAAGTACTTTGTGTGTTGATCTGTTGGTCACCACAATCAGAAAAAGTCTGATATGAAATTTTCCTACTTGTATTTTTTCCAGCGGACTCAACAGGCACCCACTCCCTGTACACCACCTACCAAGGCTATGAGGTCATGTTCCATGTGTCCACCATGTTGCCATACATGCCTAACAACCCACAGCAGGTGAGCACTCATGACTGTCTCTGTGTCTCTGTCCAGTGTGGAAAACTGGTTGGTTTGTATAGTTAAAGAAACCAGTCTTTGACACTAAAAGTTGTTCTGGGTGATAATCTGTACCAGAGGTGGACATTTGTAACTTTTGTGACTTGTTTCATTTGTTTACATAGTTCAAAGTAGCAGCAACTTGTAAACAATGCAACGTGGATTTTTTATTTTTATAAATAGTACACTAACTCCATCCACAGGCTCGGAGACTGCAACAGCAACCGTCTGTACATGCTCAGGTGAACCTCTAGGTGGCAGCATCCGATATAAAAAGTCAAGCAGGGAACAAAGGAGTAGTGTCAGGAGTAAAACAGGAATGAAACAGCCATCATATTAATAATAATATTAATACCTGTTATCTGGTAATTATGGTAAACTGTAACCCATACATTCAGGTGCCACGAGAAAAACTGCTGATAGTTTTAAAAAAATGGCTGTTCATTGTTGCACTTGAATTATGTAGCATAAGATATAAAGAGAAAAATGTTATTTAGTTAAGGATCATAGAGTAAAGTCTTATCACCTTAATTAAGAGTCACTGTCATTGCTTTTGTGGTTAGGTTGTTTGGAAAACAGAATTATATACATATACATGCGTTTGTCTATAGATATATGTATATATATAGATATGCATACACATATAGAAACACATACTGTATGTGTATGTATGTATATATATATATGTGTTTGTATATACATATATATACTTGCCTTTGCACATCAGAAATTTTGTTTTTGTTTACATTGAGGTAAACAGATACCAGTTGATCTGTTCTGCTTCTTCTAGTACTGAGAGTTCTTAACAATAACTTATCCCTGGTCAAAGGTAAAACTGTCATTTATTTTCTGCCCGTGAACTCTCCTAAATGTGATACACTGGACCTCGTGACTGCGATGAAGGATGCTTCCATGGCACAATGTTGGAGAATGTTTCTCTGGTCGGAGCGTGGGCTGGATTATATAATTGGTATATTCACACTTCCCTCTGCAAATGAGGGGAGCATTGGCAAGTGCTGCAGCGCAGACACAGCCTGGACTGTGTTCAACGTTCCCTGTGTTCACAGAGAGACGGACAAACCATCACACGTACAGACACAAATATCCCACACTGAGTGGAAAGAACACAAAAGCATAAAGAACTGTTGTTTGGTGTCTTGTAGAAAATGTCTCGGTGGCTTCTTTGAGTTGCCAGACATTGTGTTATTGGCTGAGTTAAAATAAAAGTTGGTGCCAGTAAACATTTGTCTCCTCTCGTTTCCAGCTCTTGAGGAAGAGGCACATAGGAAACGACATTGTCACCATCATCTTTCAGGAGCCAGGAGCTCTGCCTTTCACTCCTCAGAACATCCGCTCGCACTTCCAACATGTCTTCGTTATCGTGCGTGTGCACGCCCCCTGCTCTGAAAACACCTCCTACAGGTAAATGTGTGTTCATGTGGTTCAACAACACAGCAGTCCCTCCACTCTGTATTTACTTTATATGTGCTCTCCAAGTGTTGCCGTGACCAGGATGAAGGACGTTCCCCCCTTTGGCCCCTCCATTCCCAGCGGTGTCACCTTCAGAGATCCGGAAACTTTCCGTAACTTCCTTCTAGCCAAAGTCATAAATGCGGAAAACGCAGCGCACAAATCTGAGAAGTTTCACACCATGGCCACACGGACCAGGCAGGAGTACCTGCGTGACCTGGCGGAGAACTACGTCAGCAACACACCGCTGGACTCGGCCGGGAAACTTAACAACCTCATCTCCCTCGCCTCCAAAAAGCGCGAGCGCTCCAAGGCAAGAGAGGGAGCAGAGCTGGGAGCTGCCGGCGCCATAGCCTGGAGGGTGCAGGCCCAGGACTTCAGCGGAGGCGGAGCAGAGCTCTCCTGTGCTTTAGGTCTGTCAGCTGAATACGTTCTTCTCGTAGACTCTTCCACCAAAGAAGTGGTGTTTAACTGTTTCTGTGCCGACGTGATCGGCTGGAACCCTGAGCGTCTGGCACTGAAGATCTTCTACGGTCGAGGAGACCACATCTCTGTGAGGGTACCAGAGGGCTGTGCTCAGGACGTCAGGGAGATGGTGCAGAGGTTAAAGGTGAGCCAGGAAGAATATTTAAAGTGCTCTCACAGCACCCCCTGGAGGGGATGGAATCTCTATGATATTACATGGTGTAGAGTATGGGTGGGCAAAGTTTTGGCTCACGGGACAAAATGAGGTGCAAAATTTGACGGACTGGTCATTCAGTGTTGGTTGGATGTAGACGGCTGGACTAAATAATATATATTAATTGTACGACAATAAACCTTAACTTAATTTCAGTAGTTAGCACACTTAGCTTTCACACAGAGAGCAGTAAGTCCTGGGTTTGATTCCCAGAGGAACCACATAATTGGCGCTTCCTAGTGGTTGCCTGTTGCAGCATAAATGCTGTTAACACAAGAATTTCCTCTGTGGAATCAGTAAAGTTAATTTAAAAAATCCTATATATTTAATATATATGTATATTTGCCCACTGTAACTATATTTATTAACTCTTTATTCACTACTAACTATGTTTGTTTATTTATTTTCTCCCTCCGTCCAGTCTTTGACAGTTGGATGTGAGACAGTGGACATGACACTGAGAAGAAACGGTTTGGGACAACTGGGCTTCCATGTTCGCTTGGACGGCACTGTGGCCGAGGTACTGATGTGGAACCATCTGCTCTGTGAGATCTTTTTTTTTAATACTTGTTCTTCTTCCGACGGTGAATGGTTTGTTTTTCGGTGCGTGCAGGTGGAGGAATATGGCTTTGCCTGGCAGGCAGGGCTGAGGCAGGGCAGTCGTTTGGTGGAGATCTGCAAGGTGGCGGCGGTGACTCTGACTCACGAGCAGATGATCGACCTGCTCAGGACCTCAGTCACTGTGAAGGTGGTCATCATACCTCCATATGAAGAGGGAGGCCCCCGCAGGTGAGGCACACACTCACCCTTCTCTCATTCCTTCAAAGCTGGAGTCATCACAGTGAGTCAGATGCAGATGTGAAGGAGCATGAAAAGCCAAGGCAGGTGCCAGGTGTTGGTCACATTATGGTGAAAGGACGGAGTCCTCACATTCACATGAACTGAAGAACCACGGCTGAGATAGCGACCAGACTCCAGTGTTCCGAGAGGATTTTTGTGTGGGAGTGTGTGAAAAGAGGAAACAGGCGAACAGAGCGAGAGAGCAGAGTGTGGTTTGAGAGCAAATCTCAAAAATAAGAGGCATGGAGATAGAAAAAAGAGGAGCATTTGTTAAACATCAGTTCATGTCTTTGTCTCATCCTCTCCTCCATCTCCACGTTCCCAAGTTCCTCTCTTCCCACGGTCTATTTCTTTCTCCTGCTGTCACCCTTTTCCAAGCGTTTCATCCGCTGAAGTCCCTGACTCACTCGGAATAACAAGGCCATGTGAGCCTCTGATGTGGTGGAACAGAGTAGTTACAGGGGTGAGGAAAGAACCACCGTGTGCGTGTGTGTGGTCCAGGTAGAGTTATACTTGTGGGGACGTTATATTTTTGGTGAAATGCTTTGTTGTGGACACCCTTTTTCTTGTGGGGTCCCCACCAAGAGTCAGTATATATTTAGCTTTAGGATTTTGGAGTTAGGATTAGTCATAGATTTATAATGGTTTAGGAATGCATATGTAAAGTCTACGAGAAGTCCTCAAACTTCATGAAAACCAGACTGTGTGTGTGTGTGTGTTTGTTTCTGGTGTGATTTAACTTGCGGGGACATTTTTATGACAAATACTACACACTCCAAACTTCTGAGGACATTTTGTGGGTCCCCTCTGAATGAGATGGTTGTTAAGGTTCAAGGTTTAGTTTGGTGTTAGGGATAGAATAAGAATGCATTGGTCTTTATGGAAGTGCTCACAAAACACCAAAAACCTATATATGTGTGTGTGTGTGTGCATCATAAATACAGGAATTATGGCAAGTTAATTACACTTGACTTGATCTGATCTCCCTCACACACACACACACACGTGTATCTCTTCTCTGTGTGTATTCTAGAGACCCTTACCCTAAATTGAACTTTCCACCTTAACCAAACCTGGATTCTAATCTCAAAAATTAACCTCTGAATGAACCCAAAAATGTAATAAAAAAAAATCAAAGACCTGACAAACGTCCTTACGTTGATGTTTTTGTCTTCACTTCCTGCTATGTACACACACACATACACACACTCACTGTGCTGTGGCATTGGAGCAGCTGATAATTAGAGTCTCGCATTTCACTCCTCTCTCTCTCTTTCTCCCTCTCTCTCCCTCTCTCTCTCTCTCTCTTGCTGCCGTTGTATGCCAGGCGAGCAGATTGCATGAGATTTAGACTTAGGGTCTGCATTAGTACAAAAAACAAGACCAGGAAAAATACATTTTAAAAAAATGATTGGAGATAAAAAAAAATAAAGGGTGGAGTGAGAGAGAGAGAGAGAGAGAGGTGTAAGAGAGAGCAAGGTTAAGAGACGAAGAGCACTCCGTAACAGTGTGTTTCTACACTGCTGAGAAGAAAGAAGTGGGTGGGAGGGAGAGAGAGAGAGAGAGAGACAGACAGAGAAAGGGAGAGAGGGGGGGGGGCTTGTAAGCTTTCTTTCCTGCCATGCTTTATCCGATGTGCACAAGCGATGGACAGATGCAGAAGGGAAGAGGTGTGATTTTGTTTTTGTCTTTTTGGGAGGGGTGTGTCTGACCGTGTGTGTGTGTGTGTGTGTGTGTGTTATTGTGTACCTGAAGCTCCAGATATTTCATGTGGTTCAATGTGTTTGGAAAGACACTGAATGTCAACAGATGTAGACTCTGCTCATCTCAAGGTTTGTTTCTCTCTCTTTGTCTGTGAGTGTGTGTGTGTGTGTGTGTGTTTGAGCGTGGAGTGTTAGAAGCACTATTGTTTGCTAACTGAAGGGATTCATAGTACTTTCCTTGACATTGTACTGTATGTTGCGGTGTTAGTATAGAGTGTGTGTGTGTGTGTGTGTGTGTGTGGTTTAGAGAGAGAGCGATGTTCCAAATATCTATCCTTTGTGGTAGAGATGCGTAGTATATTTGGGACACAGTACAGTAGTTGGTCCTGAGGCAGGAGCTGGGATGTTTGGTCAGACATTAAACCAATCCATCATCTCAGACATCCAGGAAAAATTGACCTAAAGATGCTGCACATCTGCTGAGGTGACACCAATGGGTTGTTGTGAATTCTGGCACTGACCGTAGCTGATTATTCAGATTATTATTATTATTATTATTGTGTCTTGTATTAGTGGGGCTGTTTAGCCCTGTGAAAGCTGGACATTACTACCACTAGTAGAAACAGTTATATAATAAAGTATTTACGTTTATTCTCAGGACCCAAAAATGTTGTTGTTGTTGAACTTGTTTGGTCTAAATAATTGTATTGACGATACAATTCTCAAACCATGTCAACTGAAAGTAAGCTAACTATTGTATTACTTGGGCTTTAACTATTAGTTTTATTTGTCTAACTCGGAGAACATTGTACGGTTGTGTTAAAGAACAGATGATTAAATGAAACAAGTTTGAAAAAATCCAGAGAGACTTGAACAGTCTACGCAGGCGTGGAGCATGAAAATATCTAATCACACATCTGATCTTCATTCACACACCGTCACTGCCACCGTCTTCGTCTCCTCATTTCCTCCTTCCTCTCGGCATCTGTCTCATCTTAAATACATTGTCTGTGCATATTTGATGCTTCCTGTCCTCCTGTAATTGGCTTTGTGGGAGACTTAATGATGAGCCGCAGAAAATGTGGCGTTTGAGGCTGTTGTCAGAGGGTGAATGTGTCGGGGTTCTGTGTTTGTGTCCCGTCCTGATGAGTTCACTGTATGACGACCATCAAGCTGTGACTGAGTCTCACTGTGACTCCATAATTGATGAGAATTAAATGGCACGTGATCTCATTTAAAGGTTAAATATATGCGTTTTGTCAGATTCAGTTGAGGTTTTTATTTGACACAACTTCATATGACGAAATTAAAAACTGAAATAATGAAGCTTTTATTGTATGAACATCATTATGTTTTATATTACGTTTCCTTTGGTAAACAAAATACCTGATGTGTCTTAATGACAACCTGAGGTTATTTTCTATATTTTTCTACTGCTAGGAAAGGTCAGTATTTTTAAACCACAGCAGTGACTTCACCACTAGATGTTGCTCAATCCTGTCCCGTGTACCATTAACTTACATATAAATGTCATTTTAATTCTTTGCATCCCCAGATCTGTGTTTAAACCCAGACCTTTATATGGGAGTGTCTTTGATGAGATTGAACAGGCACACAACTGTGCAGGCAAATATGTGCAAACACCTGACCTCAGTCTCACAGTAGGTGTGATGGAGTCCTGACGTGACTGTAATCATTTTCTTCTTCTCTCCCCTCCCTCGTTAGTGTCAGGGGAGCTCATTAGTGAGCTCCGTCTACTATCTGCTGTCTTTAGGTAATCCATTTAGTATGTCATGAGGAAATTTAAAAAGTCTTTTTATGGGGAATTGTATCCAGCAGTAATCACCCGAGACTTTAAAGGAAATAAATGTAGCTGTTTTTAAGTGTTAATCTATGTCGACTTTGATCATGATTCTTGTGTCTTATCTTTACTATTTAGAAGGCCACCAATTATATTTGTCGGGGGACCATCATGTTTTTGCGGGCCAGACACTCAAATGACATGGAAAAAATCACATTTTTGTTTACTGTTATTATTGTGTTTATTTATGTTTATGTTTATGTTTATTTTGGAACCAAGTCATGGGCCGGAATGGACGGTTTAGTGGGCTGGATTTGGCCCACGGGTCACCAGTTGATGATCACTGCCTTACTAGATATTTTAACAAACCTACAGCTGTGCAAAATGTGTGTGGGTTAAAAATGTATCTTTGAAGAATGTGATCTATCGTTAATAATGAGACGATCCTTTTCTTGAATTGTTGTTCTCCAGAGGCTGCACAGAGGAGTATGAGATGAAGACCATTGAGCAGAAGTCCGAATCTGAACCACTAGCAGTGGGATATCGACCCTCCCCTCGTCCTACGTGGCGGTGGGACAGCCCACCAGTACCACTGGGGCTTCACAGTGTCCCCAACCCTCAGCGCTGGGGACCAATGGGCCCCCCACCACCTCCTGCACCCCGCTCACATAAAACCATAATGCCAGTTCCCTATAGAGACCCCCAGCATCTGAACTCCAAGAGGTGGGCAGGAGACTGGTAACTTTGATTTGAATATTTTTTTATGTTTAAAATCAGTTTTATCAACACTGTCTTTGTCCTGCGTCCTTCAGGCCAGTCAGCTACCCAGAGAACCACTACGCTCTGTCTCCTGTAGGGGGCGACAGGGCTCTGCCCTTCAGAAACCCCTCAGCCAGCTTCTCCTCCCCGTCCTCAGGCCTCGTCAACCTCTGCACAATGGGGCCCCCCGGAATCACACAGAGCCCCTTCGTACGCTACAAACACTCACCGGACAGGTATGTACTGTAGGGGTGTGTGTGTGTGTGTGTGTGTGTGTGTTTGAAGTTGTCATTAGAGGTGTCTGATGTGACTCATATATTTGGTGTGCTTCAGGCAGATTCCAGGTTGATAAGAACGCCAGCTGAATACTGTGGTGTGTTGCGTCCAGGTCTGCAGTAGAGGTGGTAGAGCACAGTGTCTCCTGCTGTGTGGGTGGCTCTGCCTCACAACGTGGAGGCTGATAACATCTCACTTTGCCTGAGGAGCCAGTTTTATTCAGCTGCTGTCAGGATAAAATAAAGAATTCAAATAAAGTTATCTTCAGTTTGAAAAATCCCAAATCTAAACATTTAGAGTTAGCGTCAAGGGAAATGTCTCGGTGTGTGTGTGTGTGTGTCCTTAACTGTGATATATTAGGGGTGTGTTGATGTGTATTTGGGGAAATGTGCTGATATAGAATAAACCGTGTTCATCGATATTGTCTTGGAGGTAAGGAAATAGTAAATAATCCTGTGAGATCAACACACTTTGGTTCTTCTGTGTAGATTTGGACCAGGACAGCGCCCCCTGCTGCCTTATGAGCCCCACCTCACTGTGGATGTCAACTCCAGTGGGGAGTCTTCTTCAGGCTTCACCAGCCAGGAGAGCACCATGGAGCGCTGCAAAACAGGTTCATATCTGTTCAAATAAATTAAAAATAGATAAAGCCTCATCTATTGTTCAGTCTTGTTGTGAATAGGACGTCTTTTCGGACGGCTGCCTCTCAGTGCAGTACAGATTACTGCTGGTTCACTGTGCTGATGGCAGTGGGGGAGGTCAGTGTTTAGTCACTGACTTAATCCTCTCTGCAGCCACGGGACGACCAGCGTATTTTGATTTAATCCAGGGTCGGCGTGTGTGTGTGTCTGTGTGTTTCCTGTGCAGAACCTCTGTGGCATGTCCCAGCGTCTCGAGGAATGGCCGGAGGAGCAGGGCAGAGGAGAATACCCAGACAGGACATCCCGGGGAAAGACTCTCCAAACAGACACTCAAAGGTCCGACCCGTCCTTGGCTCATCTGGTCACTTCTGCTCTCATCTCCTCTTCACCTCCAGGGCTGACTCCTGTCCTTGTTTCCCCTGCAGGGGGAGACTCAGTACTCCAGTCACTCCAGCAGCAACACTCTGTCCAGTAACGCCTCCAGCAGCCACAGCGACGAGCGCTGGTTCGACGGAGGGCCTGGGGGAGAACGAGTTGGGGGCGGCGCTGACCTCACCGATCCTGACGCGGACCTCCTGAACAAGGGAGGGTCCAACGACAGCGGCATCGACGCCTCCATCCCGTACAACAACTCCCGTCACGGGAACGTGTCCAACAATCCATCGCACAAGCCCTCGCACTGCTCCTCAAACTACGGGGCCGTGCAGGAGCCGTCCCTGGGGAGGAGCGGCGGCGGGGGAGAGGCCAGGCGACGAGAGTCTTCACCCATGATATCAGCGGAAGCCAATCAGAACAAAGGGTACAGGACGAGGACGTTCCCTCCTCCTGGCTCCAGCACTGATAAAATGGATGCTTTCAAACCCAGGTGAGAGAGCGACTCCCTGATGAGATGGGTCTTTTACGAAGCTAGGAGAGAGGAAGAGGAGAAGAACCATCTGGATTCTGAGCCAGGTTTTGTGGGGGTTTTTTGTTGGTTTTGTTTTTATCTAAAATCTGAAATCTTTGCTGCTGGTTGATAATGTTTTATCACATAAGTAGTCTAGTGAAACACAAGGACGCAGTAACAAAGGAGTTCCATCAAACTGCAGACAGTCCAGTCTTCACACACTCTTTATTTTACACTTCCATTTATTACATTTGATCATAGGATAAATATGCAAGAAATATATTGATCAACAAGGTAAAATGGCCAAGGATGGTGCACAGATTAGTGAAGTACATGCTGTTCTCCTGTAAACCTGTCCTGTACCACAGTATGGTGTGTACTCACTGAGGTTGTTCCACATTCCCACTGTTGGCTTCATCTCATTTCTGCTGCAGCCTGTGTTGTGTCATGAGGCAGGACACCGATGACTTAGCATCGGTTATATTTAGCCGCATGATGTCATTATGTTGTCACTGTGAGGGGGTTCATGGATTCTGTCGTGCTGGCGCTCTGGACCTGCTTAGGTGTCAGATATTCCTCTGCTCCCTGTAAGCACAACTGTTCCTCTTACAGCTGGGCAGCCTGAGCTGAAAGTGAGATTTATATTGGAATATACTCTACACTCTTTATGAAACTTTTTCATCTGCTAAGAGCAAGTGGGAGCCAGCGGCCAAAGTTCTGTCAATCTCTCAGTGCAGCCTGCTTCGTTTCTCGCACGGCGTCTGCAGACCTCAAGAGGTCGCCAACACAATCTTAACTCTCTGTTCGCCTCTGTTATGGATGTTCATGCACTAAACTCATGCATGTGTGTGTTTTTTGTCCAATCTCTCAGGGCCTTTACGCCGCAGGGTTACAAAACTCCCACCGCGGAAAAAGCACGACCCATCAGAGCTGCTACGACCACACCCACTTCAGCCCAGTTAAGCTCCACCCCTCTGTCCAGCTCCGCCCCCAAGGCCTTTTATGGGAAAAGCAGACAAACAGCCTGGCAGACCGACGACAACAGCCTGTCAATTAAAACCACAGTGTCCAACTCTGAGAGCAGCAGCAGCAAGAAGTAAGACAAATACTGTAGATCGAAGATATGAATTTTTTGGAAGAACATTTTGCGGCAAAATAAATATTTTCCTTCAGGTTGTGTCTTGGCCCCATGTGGCCCATGGGCCACTCTCCCTGATTAGGCCGTATGTAGATGACGAGCTGATATTCACTCCAGCTCTCAGTGAGCAGAAACATCTTCATCAGCTTAATGGCTGTCAGTTTCAAGGACAGAGACGTTAAAAGTGTGAGAGGGGTGGCCAGTTCAGTCCAACTTCCCTGAAGGTTATGATGTATTTAAAATTATATCCTTCTAATAAAAAGGTTTAGAAGTGATGTCAGAAACATTAGTCAAGGTTGTCATGTCCCACTTTTGTCCAGCCATCCTTAAAGTCTTGTGTCTCCAGGCAGGTGGACATGAATTCCAAAAATGTGTTTGGACAACCCCGGCTCCGAGCGTCGCTGAGGGACCTGCGCTCCCCCCGGAGGACGTACAAGAGCACGATAGAAGATGACCTGAAGAAACTGATCATCATGGACAACCCAGCAGAGACGCCACAGAGAGACCCGGTAAGACTGACGCTGTCGGAAGCTGCTGTGTGCACGTGTAACCCCTGACCTCCGTCACTGACCTCCGTCACTGACCTCCGTCACTGACCTCCGTCACTGACCTCCGTCACTGACCTCCGTCACTGACCTCCGTCACTGACCTCCGTCACTGACCTCCGTCCCCTTCCTCCGTCCCCTTCTCTGACCACAGTCTCCCAGACGGACACTGCAGCGCACCTTTTCAGATGAGTCGCTGTGCAGCGGACGCCGGGACGCAAGCTTCGCCAACACGGAGCATCCGACGACTCCCACTGACGTGCTGTTCACGTGCACGCTGCCCACGCGCAAACACGTCTCCAACCATTTACAGAACAAGAAGGGTGTGTTTTCAACAGGTGACTTTTTTTAGCCACACCCTGTGAACGGAGTCTAGAATTTGCTGCCATGAAGATAGACAAACGATTGTTAAGTTACGTTTGGTTTTTTAAGTGAAGTTCAGAGGAGGATTTTAGGAAGTGAGATTCATTTGTGTCTGATCGTGAGCTGTCGTCTTTCATGCAGTTCAATGGTTTGTCCTCTGTTCTCATTCGTCCACAGTTCCCCTGTCTGCCTCAGAGCTGTCTCTCAATGAAGTCAGGGACAAGGTTCCTCCTCTGCGTAGGCTGGACCCTGGACTGATGCCTCTTCCTGACACTGCCTGTGGTCTGGAGTGGTCCAGTCTGGTCAACGCTGCCAAAGCCTACGAAGGTGAGGGTGAGGCTCTGATCATCAGTTTATTTAAACCATGACAAACAGATGACTTAATTCATCAAATCCTAATAAAATAGGATTCACTTCCTGAAAACTAAGCCAATCACACAACACTGTTAGGTCATGTGACGGTAACCCAGCAACTAAAAGAAGACTTCAGCCTTTAGTTTTTTGGGCCAGTTTCACAGACAGACCTTAGGATCTGTCCTTAGTCCAGCTTAGTTAAACTAGAACTTTTAGGGAGCTTTCATGAACGTGTCAAAAGTGAAACTGTTCTAATAGATTCTAGACTGGTGCCTCGGTGTCTCCCCCGTCACCTCACCCTCCTGGGAAATAAGCAGGAACCTTGTACTTCACCCAAACCCTGTCCGCTGGTGTCTTCTGTCCACCTCAAACACACTGGACGAAGCTGCTGCCACGTCCACCACCTGTTCAGCTCTGATTGTGTCCCGTGTCTCCAGGGACACCAACATTTGAGCCTCTGTCTAAACGCAGCTCTTTGTTTATTTTTCTTTCACAGCACAAAGAGCAGTTTCCCTCTTCTCACTGACCGAGCCACAGGTCCCCGGTCCGGACTCAAGGCCAACGGTCAGTCCGGTCCAGTTTCAGACCCCTCAGACACCACGCACCACACCCACCTTCAGCGGGTAGGTCAAAGACACTGACAAACACGGGAGACAAAGGCGACAGTTCAGCCAGGCGTGCTACACTTGGTTTTCGTTTTCTCTGCTGCCACCTGGTGGTAGTTTAATGATGTGTCGCTGTATGAAGCGATGAATCATTTTCTCAGACTCTTACACAGAATCATATTGAACTCTGTCTCTGTGTCTTCAACGTCCCCCTGTCTTTTGTGTGTCCTTCAGGGACGAGGTGCCCAATGATTTGTCAGGTCGCCTCCACCATCTGGAAGTCATGTTGAAACAGCTGAACACTGACCTGGAGAGGGTGAGCTTTTCAGTGTGGGACACATCAGGCAGCAGAATGAGCTGACATGAAATTAACATCTTTTTATTAAGTATTTTTTAATATTAAATTTACAGACCTTTATACAAATCTATTACTATCATTCTCCCCCATCAGGAGAAGAAGGACAAAGTGGTCCTGCTGGCAGAGATGGCCAACTTGAGAGAGAACAACCAGAGGCTGCAGGAGGAGAGTCATACGGCCAGCGAGCAGCTGCGAAAGGTCAGCAGGTTCTTTAACAACCTGGACAAGACAGGAAGTGAGCACGAAGGTCTCTCCGTAACCCATGACACTGACTCTAAGAGGGAGTGATGACCAGCGGCAGAAGAAGAAGAGGAAGAAGAAGAAGAAGAGAGAGTGTGATTGAGGCCAAAGGGAGAGAAACGACCTGTGAGGAGACAGAGGTCAGAGAGGCGTGACCTCACCCAGCCTCCCGTGGACTGCCTTAAACCCAGAGAGTCGGAAAAAGACGACTATTTTTACTACCACACTCCAGTGAGCCTGTGCACGGACCCTCCCTCTCTACTCTCTGAGCCCATTTATTTTTATAAACTCACGTCAAAAAGTCTTATTTCCAGTACTTTAATGTCTATGTATAAAAAACAAAAACCAATCCTGTTCATGAAAACTATGCTGAAGAAGAGGAGGAGCTACCTGTTCATCACCTGGAGAGGCCTAATACTGTTCCCGCAGTCAATCAGCCAAAAACAAAATAACATAACTGACTGCATCTCCCAGAATGCATCTCTCAGAATGCACTAGAAATAATGGAATCTCTACAGAGGTGGTACTGTAGAACGACGCCTGTGTGGTACAACTCTCATGTGTTGTCATAACCGATACTGTACTGATACTGCGAAACAGGTGTACTAAAGAGGTGTGTGTGTGGGTGTGTGTGTGTGTGTGTGTGGGTGTGTGTGTGTGGGTGGCTGACGGTACAGTGAAATCTCTGAGGCATTTCTGCACACGTTGGTGCACAAGGATGGGTGGATTTGTGAGATTGAACAAATGAATATATTGTGATATGAAGCTCATGGGCCACCGTACTTCCCTGTCCCGTGTTTACATGGGTGAAGCGAGCCCCCCCCCTCCAGGATGTGAATCTAGCCATGTGCAGTCTGACTGTTGGTGGGCGGAGACTTGCCGATTCCCTAAAGACAACCTTCTCCCTGGTGATCACTGTTTTCAGTAGTGCATTATCATCTCAGATGTGGATCCTCAGTTAAACTCGTTTTTATAGAACGCTGCGTTCAGGTCGTAGGATAAGGTTAAAAACATATTTGCAGTTTTCGCTGGAAAAATCTTGTACTGGAACCAGAGCTCAGTGTCCGGGGCCTCGTCCTGGTGTTACCACACACACATGCTTTTCCTTTATTATTTAAAGATTTTTATTTCACTGTCTCTTTGCTGCTGGGTTGCCAGGTTTGACTAGATCTGTCTAATTATCTTTTTTTGTTTAAATTTATCAAGAGATTTTTAAAAAAAATACATCACAGCCTTAATAGTAATTTACTATTACATTATAATTTAGAGACTTTGCTAGATTTACATTTTATTTCCTCTTGACTTGTGGGCCAAACAACAACAACCCAACAGGGTGTTAGACGATCTTAAGTACAATTTTTTCATGTCCCGATCAGAAAACACAAAGTCATTTCATGACATCTTCTAAGTGTAATGTGTGTTGGTGAGAAACTGGACATGAAACACTGAAGCTCTTCATATCAGAACCTGTGTGAGTTAGTGTGTGTGTATGTGTGTGCACGACAGGAAGTGTCCATGTGTTCTGTGACGAACCAAATACGAACACGAAACTATTTATACTGTTAACTTACTAAACAATATTCTCTACTATATTTATATTTTTAATAAAAAAGAACATTGTGTCACATTTGAATAAATGCTGGTACTGGAGGACACACACTCCTGGAGAGGATGAATGAGTGGAGGAATGTGTGTGTGTGTGTGTGAATGTTCTCTGGTTCGTGTCGGTGAGTAACGACCTTACTAAACTCTCATCTCTCCTGGAGCGGCGACCTGTCGCTCACTGAGGTCACGTCCTCCTCCTGCTCTGACTGGATCTGTCAGCGCTCTCAGGTTTTTCTCAGTAAGCTGTTAACAAGTGCACCACCAGTGTTGAACTGTGAGACAACGTACTGACCGCTGTACTGCAACTACCAACAGCTTCTCGCCGTTGTTGCTGTCCCTTTAATATTTCCCACTGCTTCTCTCTTTAGTCCACCCTGGAATTGAATCCATGTTTTTCCTCTGTTCCCAAAAATTCATTTTGCTACCGCCATAACAAGGAAACGGTGACTCTGAACTGGACTTAGAACTGTTTTGTTTTTGCTCTCTTTCTCTTCACCGGCTTAAAAAATATATATAAAAAACTCTTATTACATCCCTCTTTGATATCTGCTGATATAAACCTGCATTCGGACTCTTTTTCTCTATGGTTTCTTGTGAGACGAGTGCTTTTCCCAGTCTGTGCTGAGTGAATTGAAGCTTTTACAGGGTCCATTTTCTCCTCTGATTCTATTTATTCCAGTTTTCAGGTCTGATCTGAGTCTCGGTGTGACACACACTACTGTTATCCATCCTTCATGCAGCTTGGCTGGTGTAGCTGTGGTTTTACTGAGTCTTAATCTTTAGTTCGCTTATGCAAACGGGGCAAGGTTTCTTTATATATATATATAAATATATAAATATAAAAATGGTTTATTTATTTTTAAGCTATTTATCACATCACAACACGCTCTGTTGAACCAATCAATAATGCATTAAGGTTAGTGGTATATTGTTCAACTTGTTTTTTTTTTGTTCTTTTTTTTAGATGTGAAATATTTTAATAATTTATTTTCTACGACATTGTTGCAGGCGTCAGTGAAGACGGGAGAGTACTGTGTTTTGATTTGTTGTTTTTTTATTTCCGTGTGTATGCAGCTTGAACGGCTTCTTTACAGAATTGATTTGTATGATTCTTATTTTTAATTATTTTTTGTAGTTGTTTTCCCTCCCTGTGCGTCACGTGTCCTGCATGTGTGGATCACAGGACGCATCGACAAAAAACATTTGGTTGAACGTTGTCTTCTCTGGGTTGTAATAACTTGTACATTTAAAAGTGTAAATTATGTTTTCATTATTTTATAAAAAAAAAATTTAAAAACTATCAGACCATTTGCTGTTTTGTTATTGGGGGAAGAATGTTAGCATTGTTTTAAAAGTGAAATTAATTTACCTAAAACTTTAGAATATCAAAATTTGATTTTTGTTTTATTTTTTTTTAGCATGAATTTAGCCTAACATCTTTATACTGTCTGGTGCTTCCTGTAACAGAACCAACAAAACCACACTGGTCCTCAGTGTTAACCAATCAGCAGTAATCAGGACGCTGCTGCCCTTCATTAAAGTGATTGAGGTTCAGCTGTTGTAGTAGAGTTTACTCAGTTTTTCATGTTCGGAGCAAAACGTCCAAAACATCAAATGACTCAGAACTCTGGGATTCTTCACATTGGAGGTAAAAACAACACACGATGTTCATGATGACAATATTGTTCTGAAATCAAAGCTCTGGTTTTTCAACATACACTTTTCCCCATTTTCAGTATGGATTTTATAGCCTCATTAGCATTAGCTTTATCATCAGCGGGGTGAACTCTTACTTTAAGTTGAAAGCTACACTTTGTGAGGTAAAAATAAACCAAACTAAATTTTATAGGTGTGGGTCCACATAGGGTGACGAGAGTAGAACATTAACTAACGTAAAAGAACTGACCTGATTGGTAGATACTCCACACTGCTATATCTTCATGACCAAAATAAATATATAGACTTTCTAATCTCATTTTCTGAACACACAAACACAATGAATATTTGTCAAAATAGTTTATTCCTAACAAATGCTTATCATAGCAAGTGCTTCACACATTGAACACAGACAATGTCATATTTATTATTCTATACATTTCTCCCATCCACACAAATGAAGTGGGAGCAACTGCAGTGTGACGATCAAACGCACGGACCATCCTAGGATCCACACATGAGGCAGTCTTCTCTGTTCTCCAGAGAACACACCATGGCTGCGGTGTTCCTCTCCTTCACCTCCTGCTCTGTGCCTTTGGTCGACTGGGTCTCCTTCAGCTTCTCCTTGTTGAGGGTGAACTGGATGGGGTTTGCGGCAGGTTTCGTCCTCAGATAGTACATCCCTGTCTTCAGACCCTACAGTGATGAGGACAGGACACAAGGTTTGATGTTTGTTTCTTTTTAAACCACGGTTTGAGAAACATCAATGTCACTGAACCATTCCACTAGGTGGCAGCGTTTCTCACCTGTTTCCAGCCGTAGAAGTGCATGCTGGACAGTTTGCCATAATTGGGCTCTGCAATGTGGATGTTCAGGGACTGGCTCTGGTCGATGTAGGCGCCGCGGTCGGCGGCCATCTTGAGAATCGTCTTCTGGGAGATTTCCCACACGGTTTTGTAGAGCTGCTTCAGATCGTCTGGGATCTCGCTGATGTTCTGTTTGAATAACATTAGATGAACATTTGACACTGCTGCTGCTACACAATTAACCAAACTATTAAATGAAACTAAGTTTGGTTACAACAACCCAATGTTACCTGGATGGATCCATTGTGGGCGATCAGCTGATTCTTCATTTCCTCGCTCCACAGTCCTCTCTCCGTCAGGTCTTTGAGCAGATGAGGGTTCACGATCTGGAACTCTCCAGACAGAACTCTGCGGGTGTAGATGTTGCTGGTGTAGGGCTCGATGGACTCGTTGTTGCCCAGGATCTGGGCGGTGGAGGCTGTGGGCATGGGGGCCATCAGCAGACTGTTCCTGACTCCATGTTTGGAGATCTTCTCCTTCAGCAGGGCCCAGTCCCACAGGTCTGTGGGCGTCTTCTCCCACATGTCGTACTGAAGGATGCCCTTGCTGACTGGAGACCCTTCGTACGTCTCATAGGGGCCCAACTCTGCAGCCAGCTCGCAGCTGGCCTCTAGGGCGGCGTAGTAGATGGTCTCGAAGATTTGGATGTTGAGCAGCTGAGCTTCAGGGCTTTCAAAAGGGAAACGCATCAGGATGAAGGCGTCTGCCAGACCCTGGACACCAATTCCTATTGGCCTGTGGCGCTTGTTGGAGTTTTCAGCCTCGGGCACAGGATAGTAGTTGATGTCTATGATCTTGTTCAGATTTCTGACGATCACCTTGGTCACCTGTGTCAGTTTGTTGAAGTCATAAGTCCGCTCTGGGGTGACGTACATGTTGAGAGCGATGGACGCCAGATTACAAACGGCCACCTCGTCTGTGCTGGTGTACTCCACGATTTCTGTGCACAGGTTGCTGCACTTGATGGTGCCCAGGTTCTGCTGGTTGCTCTTCCTGTTGCAGGCGTCTTTGTAGAGCATGTAGGGCGTACCGGTTTCTGTCTGCGACTCAATTATGGCGTGCCACAGCTGTTGAGCCTTCACCACGCGCTTCACCCTCCCTTCCTTCTCATACCTAGTGTAGAGCTCCTCGAACTTCTCCCCCCAGCACTCGTCCAGACCGGGACACTCACTGGGACACATGAGTGACCAGTCCTGGTTGCTTTCCACCCTCTTCATGAACAGGTCAGGGATCCACATGGCGTAGAAGAGATCTCGCGCTCTCTGCTCCTCCTTCCCTGTGTTCTTCTTAAGATCCAGGAAGTCAAAGACGTCATAATGCCAGGGCTCCAAGTAAATGGCAAAGGCTCCAGGACGCTTGTTGCCACCCTGATCCACGTAGCGCGCTGTGTTGTTATACACTCTCAGCATGGGCACCAGGCCGTTTGAGTTTCCGTTGGTCCCAGCGATGTAGCTCCCAGTGGATCTGATGCAGCTAACGGCCACACCGATGCCGCCGGCCGACTTGGAGATGAGGGCGCAGTTCTTCAGCGTGTCATAGATGCCTTCGATGCTGTCGTCCTTCATGGCCAGCAGGAAGCAGCTGGACAGCTGGGGCCGGTTGGTTCCTGCGTTGAAGAGCGTGGGTGACGCGTGGGTGAACCACTTCTCTGACAGCAGGTTGTAGGTATTGATGGCGGCGTCGATATCATTCTTGTGGATACCAACAGACACCCGCATGAGCATGTGCTGGGGACGCTCTGCCACTTTGCCGTTGATCTTCAGCAGGTAGGACCTCTCCAGAGTCTTGAAGCCAAAGAAGTTGTAGGAGAAGTCTCTGTCGTAAATGATGGCCGAGTTCAGGCGGTCTTTGTTCTCCAGAATTATGTCCAGAGTCTCCTTGGAGATCATGGGGGAGTGACGTTTGTTCAGGGGGTTGACATAGTTGTACAGGTCTTCCATCACTTCATTGAACACCTTCTTGGTCTCCTTGTGCAGGTTGGAGACAGCGATGCGTGCAGCCAGGATGGCATAGTCGGGGTGTTTGGTTGTGAGGGTGGCAGTGATCTCTGCGGCCAGTGTGTCCAGCTCAACTGTGGTCACTCCATTGTACAGACCCTGGATCACCTTCATGGTGATCTGGGCCGGATCCACGAAGTCAGAGTTCAGGCCATAGCAGAGCTTCTGGATACGAGAGGTGATTTTGTCAAACATGACACGCTCTTGGCGTCCATCTGGGAAAAAGAAAAGAAAAGTGAAGAGTAGAGTTAAAGTCAACTCATCTGTGCCAAACTCCCTAGCCATACACTTTGACTAGTTCTCTGATGCTGAGAGAGAACTTTAGAAACCTCATCATCATGGCACATGTGTTTTAGTTTTAAACCGTATTACTAGATAGATAGAACTTTATTAATCCCTTGGATTAAAACATTACAAGTAAAACATTTCAGGTTTCAGATTTTTGCTCCAACACTCCCATATTTATGAAGACTTGAGGTTTTTCTCAAGACTTTCCCAGTGCTCATGGGTTCATCTTATGTGTTTGTATAATAAAGGGGCTTTTCTGTTGTACGGGTGGAGCAGTTGAAGGAATTATGAAAGTCTTGCATTCAAAAATACCCGGGTTGGCAGTAATCGGGTGTCCAGGTTGTGTCAACTTTCCTATTATCTAAAAGTCACACTACTGCAAAAACCATTCAATAAAAACGTCTTATCTATTGAGTGTAACTGAATTTTAAACATTAAATGAGTAGTAAAAGTACTTCCTGTTATATTCGAACAAAGAGTTGGTAGGAAGGAAAAAAAACTACATAAGAGGATGGAAATACTAATAAAGGTCCGTCGAAAATATAAGTCTGAGTGAACTAAAGTTCTGGGATCTTTTTACAGCTTTTAGACCGAACAATAAAGCTGTGCTTCTTGGCGCCAACTATGACAAAGAGACGTTGTGTTCAAAACATTATCTCTAGAAAATAAATATTATGACTTCAATTCAAGTCTAAGCGTTGATATTAACGTCGCAGGGAGACGTTCTATACATTAAAACACTTTTCTGAGTAATGTTTAAATATGACACAGATGATAGTGAAGCTAACTGAGGCCTGACACTATGCTGAGCACCAACAATGTTTACAACTCACCTCGTTTAACGACATGCATTGTGCTGCAGTTGATGTATTGGTTTCTCCCAGGAAAAACAGCAGGGCTGCGGCAACACAGTTATACTCTGCTCGGGGTCTTGTTCTGGTTCCACAGCAGCACAAAGCTCTCCCCGTGTGGACCCTTAGGAAAGAACGCGCGAATATTTCCCGCAAAGCCCACTTCGGGAACTATTTGTACGGAAGACGTCAGCGTTGAAAGAAAGAATTGACATGTCGTTTATCCAACCAGCTGTAAGATAATCAAGCGTCCTTCTTTCTGAGGACCAATCAGCGAATGTGAGTACATCCGCTTCCGTTTTCGGCATTGAAATCTGGCGGGCGACAGAAGTAGGTCATTTAAGACCCGCCCAATAGAAGCAGTCGTTGTTGAAATTAAAAAATTCTAAACGACATAATATAATAATAATTTTTTTTAACGATTTGTAACGACTATGTGAAATAGTCCCGTTTCGCATAGTAATATAATATCAATACAATAACAGTGTGACAAAATAAATAATTTATTTTGTTTATATAGGACAACAAATATTTATTTATTAGTCCAACTCCACAATACTCCATATACAGACCATTAAGTCCAACTCCACAATACTCCATATACAAGTCAGGAGTCACAAAAGTCCGTTGATTGCAAACGATGGCACATTTGTAGCAATTACTGAGTTCTTAGTTTATATAGTACTTTGTATACATAATTAATACATAGAAAAGAACAAATGCTTTTTCAAATGTTACTAATAAATAAATTGAACTACTTTAAGTTTTTACATTTGACACGTGGAACTTTGATTTATCGTGTCTTTTGCATGTCGGACAAGATATGGCGTTGCACATGATTACTGGCTTAGGTGGCGGTGATTTGCTGCTTAAACGCGTTTTAATGTTTGACGTAAATATATGTTCGCTGTCCAGTGAATACTGTGTGAGTATAATTTTAATGGTTCTATTTTGTTTTATAAATTAGCAGAAATTTTGCATAGACGTGTAAATGTAGTGGGTGTGGATATGGTAAAAAGAGCTCGATGTTTACTTTTTACTATTTTTCTGTTTATTTATTTTTTTCTGTTCACTTTGGTGTAGTTTTAAACTGTGACCAGGTGACGGCGTATGAAGAGCAGCAGTGAAAATCTGCTGCGAGTCGAACAGCGGGAGTCACGGCAACAGAACTGATCTGTTTTCCAGCAAATAATAATATTAATATGTAAAAGGTCTTGGACGCAGCGGATGGAGGGTGATTGTTATTCACGACCACAGAGGACGGTTTTTAAGGATTTGCTGTTGGAAGATGAGAACAACAGAAGGGAGAGGTGTGACAATGAAGAAAGGATGGTTTCGTTGACTCTCGATTACACACAGTGACAAAGACTGTGCCGTGGTGTCAGTTTTAACTTCCTTCCTGGATTCGACCACTGCTGTTCATTTGGTGCTCCACAGCTCTGTGGTCGTTACACGTCATCCCAACTGAGACGCAGAACCGCCGTATGACAGTCATGTCCAGGTCGAGTCGACGCTACAAACCGCTGCAGCAGAGCAATGGCAGCGGCTCTTTCAGCAGCTGCGATCGGGTTCGGATCCCCCGGGCCCGGGTGTTGCTGCTGTGTCTCCTGGGATTCCTGGTGCTGGCGCTGGTTCTGGGAGTCTATCTGTCCAACGACAGCAGCGGTGTACATGTGAACCGGGTGTCGTCTGCAGATCTGACCAAAGACAGGGTAATGACACGAGCCCAGTGTTGGTGCTTTTAATTGGACCTAATATAACATCTGTCTGTGATCTGTTTTACAGCTGCTACTAATTTGCATATGAGGGATTTACGCACAATGTTTGATGCCATATACATCAGATAAATCAGAACAAAATCAGTAGTAAATTAGTGTGGATGTCGGAAATATAAAACGTGTCCACCTGTATCAGGTATCTCCATCCTTTAATATTATAAAGGCTTGTATTCCAAACAAACTTTGTTATACACTGTGTTGTACATTTTTAAATCTCTGGAAGCTAATAGACACAGAGTCACGTCAACAAACTCCTCAATTGTAAACACAAGATCAGACATTTGCCTTTCTGCTGTTGTTTAGTAGCTGTACCTGATCACAGTACAGTGACAGGAGATAAAGAGTCAGTGAAGTTATTCTGTAGTGATGTGTCTAACAATCGGTTATCAAAAAATTACATTTATAATTGCCCTTAAAACTAAATATATCTTATACACATAGTTCTCAAACATCTGTATGTTAAAACAATAGCTAAATAAATAAAAACAAACATATGTATGTATTCAGCATACGTTTTTTTAACTATATATTTGCTACATTCACGTTCTTCACTTTTTTCCATTGACTTTGTTTTCTCTTGTCCAGTTGGCCCACAAACCCACCAAGTGTTCACCTGCTCAAATCCGTCGCCTGGCTTCTCAGGTGGACGGGACTCGTCTCTGGGAGACTTATCTGAGGCCTATTCTGATAGAGAGGCTCCCAGGGACACAGGGAAGCCTGACTGTACAGCAGGTGTGTGTTTATTTTCTTTTGTCTTTTTTTTTTAAATTAATTAAATTTTTTTCTTTATAATGAATCCTCCATCCTCTTCTTAGCACATCACCTCCTCTTTATCCTCACTGTCTGCTGGCTGGTCCATAGACCTGGACTCCTTCCAGTCTTCGACTCCCAGAGGAGTCGTCACCTTCACTAACATCGTAGCGGTTTTAGACCCTTCGGTCTCTCGAAGGTTGATTCTGGCCTGCCACTATGATTCTAAGTTCCTGCCTGCAGACCCCCGGATCCCAGAGAGGGTGTTTCTGGGGGCGAGTGACTCTGCAGTGCCCTGTGCCATGATCCTGGAGCTGGCCACATCTCTGGATGCTCAGCTTCGAGCCTTCAAACAGCAGGTGAATTCAGTTTAATTTTCGTCTTGATGCTGAGGTCCAGTTAGATTATCATCATTTGTTGGCTGTGGTCCAGTGTTTTTTTTCCCCCTGTGCCCGTTCTCTGCTCCTGCAGCTGCAGTGTAGGAGAGAAAACGCTGACTCTAGTGTTGTGCTGTGCAGCAGTTTCCTTTGTGTAGCGCTTACTTTCCAGATGCTGTGCTATATAGTTACCAAGGGGAACGGACACACACACACACACCGGAATACGAGGGAAACCAACAATTGATTGTAACTAGTACAGGATCTGAAGTGGATTTTCTTCCGTTGTCTCATAGAAACTTCCAGTCACTCTGCAGCTCGTGTTCTTCGATGGCGAGGAGTCTTTCAAAGAGTGGACGGCCACGGACTCGCTGTATGGCTCTCGTCACCTGGCAGAGCGTATGGCCCACACGCCTCACCCCTCGGGCTCTTTACATACGTCTGTGCTGCAGGCTGTGGTGAGAAACCTGTGTTCACACTGCAGACAAACACTGTCCCCTCTGTCCTCACCCAGACCACTGGATCAAATTTAGCAGAAACAGCTGAGACAGGTTTAAAGATGCATCGCTCGGCAGTTGGGGAATTTTGTCGCTGATGATGTCACTAATATTAGTGGAAAGTAAACAAAGGTTCTTTTTAACATCCATGCTGCCTTCTCCCCTCGTGTCAACTGCAGTTCTGTTGATATTGGAGTGTGGATACGTACAGTATTCAGACAAGTACACATGATGAGAACATGTTTTTTTGTTGTATTTTCTGAACTTCTCCTTCTCCACTCAGGACCTGTTTGTGCTGCTGGACCTGCTGGGTGCTGCTGATCCATTGATTGCCAATCACTTTGACAACACAGCGCGCTGGTTTGACCGCCTCATTGCTGGAGGTTTGTACACAACACTTTAAAAAAAAAGAAAAAAGAAAGTACTGTCTTTGTTATGAACACTTGTTTTATTCTGTTTTTCAGAGAAGAGACTCCATCGACAGGGTCTTCTAACGTCACATCCCTCAGAACAAACGTATTTCAGGAAGGATGTTTATCTGGGACCTGTCCAGGATGACCACATCCCCTTCCTTCACAGAGGTCAGTGGAAAAAACACTGCTATTAAATTGAGTTGTTGGGGAACCCTTTATTTCTATTTTGATCACAATTAGTTTCGTGGCTGGACACATATAAAAGATCTGTTGCGTGTTGAAAAAACTACATCTTAAATGGCAGACCAAAATAGTTTCCTTCAAAATAAAAGATTTGCAGTTGTATTTCGTGCATGTAGCAGAGTAATAGGTGTCGTAGTTACATATTATTTTGACTTTTATCAACGATCTCACGTGGCTCGATCTCTATGCTGTATTTTAAAAATAGCTGCATATTTGTTTAATATACAAAACATCGGACAGGGACAGATAAAAAACCTAGGTGATTGATGCATTTGCGTTTGAATATAAGAGGGAACCCTCCCTTTACCAGTAGGTGGCAGCCAAGATACTGTTCCTGGCTCCTTCCCAACAGCAATCTCTGCAACTCCAAACAAATCCTCCTCCTCCTCCCTCTTCCTGCTGCCGTGATAAAGTCCCTCAGCTCTGCCACTGCAGTTTAATACTGTGGTGCAGTTACTTTACCAATGACTCATGAGGTTAAAATGACCTCAACTAACACAAACAGTGTGTGTTAAAAGGGATATTTGTGTGTGAGGACGTCCATATTTTTGCTGTAAAATCTAAAAGGTGATGATGCTCCTTAGAGAAACACGTCGTCTGTTGAGGTAATCCCTTTTATTTGGCTCTGGACTGTGCAGCCGACTGTGCCAATAAATCCTGATACTGATTCAAATCATGGTTACATCAGAGATTTGTTCCTTATCACACGGCACAGCAGAGGTGTTTTACTTTCTCCTACAAATCAGTTCCAGGTTCTTCTTGCCACGTTTAATGTGTACTCCAAATATTCTGATTACAAGTATTTCTTGTGTTTATTGGACTTTAAAATTGATCAAACTCGGCAAGGAAGCCTAAAATGCTTGAAGAATTATTAAATTGACAACAAACTTCAGTCGTCTGATTCTATCACAGTTAGCTTATGACATTTGATCACTGTTTTTTTTATTAAAAAACTTTAAAATTGACTTTCAAAATGTCTGAATCTGAAAGTCCACTAACCTTTCTGTTTCCTCACCTCCATCATCATCATCACCAGGTGTCCCTGTGCTACATGTCATCGCCACTCCCTTCCCAAAATTCTGGCACACCCTGGAGGACACTGAACAAAACATGCACCGACCCACCGTGGAGAATTTGACCAAGATCTTGGCTGTGTTTCTGGCAGAGTACCTGGGACTTTGAGGACTTAACATGAGACACGTCTCACCTGAAGAGTCCTGTCGTGTTGACACTATTCTGGAGCTTTTGGTGCTGCTCATCATATCTGTAACGAACAAGCCGGTGCTGAAGAAAAGCCACTTGAAATTATTAACTGAACTGTAATCAGCTGAACTTGGCCAAAGGCTGAATGTTCAGTTGACGTTCTTGTGTCATATGTGTTGACATGGAAAGAGAAACAGAGTTTTAATGGAAAAATAATATGTCTGAGGACAACTGGAAATGTTTGAAGGTACTTTATATTTTTTCTTTATTCTTGTGTAAATAGAAAAGAATATTTACTATCTCTGTATCATGGAGATGCACTCATGTCTTGTTGAAGACCTTCAGCTGACCTAATGTGAACAGAGGTCAGTGTTGTTCAGTGAAATGACCAACCTGACCTTTGCTCTACTGGCCGCACAACCTGCTGTTGTTGCCTACATGATGTGACTGATCTGCACTTTTTGTGACCATTTAATAAAACAAGAGTGAAAATCCATCAAATGTGTTTTGGAGGAAAAAAAGGTTTTCAATGAACTGACTTACAGAAGTAGATGTTTGGAGAAGAAAAAATCACTCTTTTCTGCGTCATGTGTTTTCTGTACGTGTACGTGTATGTGAGTCCAACACTAACTGCTGAGTTGTGTCAATAATAAATTTATATTTGCAAATTTCTTGTATTAAGGACATTAAGAAAATCACTGTGGAATCAAGAACACGTGGTGAAAAGGAAAAAATACTGGAACACAAAATGTGTGGAGGATCATTTAAAATGTCTATAATTACATATAGAGGTCATTTAATTTCAAACCTAAAACATTAAAAATAAATATACATAACCAGGACTATTCTAAGGTAACAGGTCATGCATTTTGATGGGATAAAAACTGTTGAACTACATTATTTTTAAGTGATGTAATGACGCTCTTGTATGACGATACAACATAGACTGAAGTGGGGTTTTTTTTTCACCAAACAGTTTTACAGTACTTTTTTGGGAAATATTTCAGTTAGCATATTAGTTTAATTTCTTCATCCTGGAGGAAAAACAAATATACACAATTTACAAAATACCAAAGTCCGAATTGCTGTTTCATCTCACTACTGCTACTTTAGCCATGTCCCAAAGCTAGGCTAATCAATATGATTGACCTGTGTCTTTGCTACTTTTGAAGTGAAGCTAAATTGGAACAGCCAGCTATGCTGCTTAGACCTAAAATGCGGGTCTTAAGACCAAAAGTGCTGACGGGTTTAATATAAAGCTCATTAAATTAGGTGTTACTTTGTTGTTTTGCATTTAGCACAAAGCTATTCAATACACTGGCTCGAATATTTGTTTTTATTTTATAGGCGTGCAGGTTACATTAAGTAGGGTGGTCTAAGACATAAACAAACAAATAAATAAATAAAAACATCTACTGCAATGTAAGAGCACATACGCCGACCAAAGGAGGGCAGTAATATACTGTACCTTTAGCATTTTCACCCGGCCAAAGACACGAAGAAGAGAACATGTTTGACACCTCTGAGTTGCCGTAGATCCGGAAGTGGTTCACAGCCATCAGGTCTCCGGCGTGACATTCACCGGTTTGTTGGGGTTGCGTAAACGGAGGACAGCGACCACCTTGTATCGACCCAACCTTTGTCGAAATGAAACTTTTAAAAGCGGGACTATCTTTAGCTAAAGCTAATCTGTTGACGCCGGGGAGCGTCACGGTTAAAAAGGTAACATGTCGTGAGTTTTCTTTTGCATATGCGCTAGTTTGACTCCATAGCTGAAGGGATTTCGATATTAGCTCTGCATGTTTGCTTTCATCTCCACAGGTTCTCATCAACAACTGTCGGTCATGTTCCTCCGGTGTCTTCCCCAACGAGAGAATCCGAAACATCGGCATCTCTGCTCACATCGACTCGGGGAAGACCACCCTTACTGAGCGTGTCCTCTTCTACACCGGCAGGATAGCAGCGATTCACGAGGTGAGTGATGGTGCTGAAACATGCTGAGTTTCAGGAGTTACACAAAAATCTAATGAAGGTCAGTAGATGTAGTGCTGGATAAAAACGAATCTGTCTTTTCGCAGGTGAAGGGAAAGGATGGTGTTGGAGCCACAATGGACTCCATGGAGCTGGAGAGACAGAGAGGAATCACCATCCAGTCAGCAGCGACATACACGGTGTGGAAGAACCACAACATCAACATCATCGACACACCAGGTATTTATAATAACAATAACATTAATATGTTTAATGATCAAAGATGAATTTCATGACTAACTCGTTGAAAACAGACATGTCTGTATGTGTAGATCAGTATAAATGTGTTTAGTAAAGTTGAAAGTCAGGAAAAAACATTTCTATATTTGTATTGGATATAACTAGCATCCAAAGGTAAATTAATCAAGATTTATTCTCCTTGCAAATAAATAAAAATAAAAATCTCTCTCTATGCTGTATAATCCGTTGTCTTTCATTTATCAAAAGTCTGACTGCTGGAGTGTCCAGATCAAAGGTCTGATAAACCCCTGTTTACTTTACTGTCTCTGAATGTCAACGTTCCGCCGGTGTCCTCCAGGTCACGTGGACTTCACCATCGAAGTGGAGCGAGCGCTGCGTGTGCTGGACGGAGCAGTGTTGGTCCTGTGTGCAGTGGGAGGAGTTCAGTGCCAGACCATGACCGTGAACCGACAAATGAAACGCTACAACGTGCCCTTCCTCACCTTCATCAACAAACTGGACCGAATGGGAGCCAATCACATCCGATCCCTGCAGCAGCTCAGGTACATCATAAACACAAAGTGTAATTGTCAGATTTAGCACACTTTAAAATACGTTTTAAAACACTCATACTTCAGAGTGAATGAGAGTGTTGCAACAGTATTGACCAAAGTATTGCACATGTTGACCATAACTTTTGGTTATTCAGTTATATTTTCATTTCACGTCTGTTGGAATATTTTCTATTTGCGTCACAACTTCAAGTATTTCTTAGTTTCTTCATCCTGTTAAAATTGTTCTAATTCCTCAGAACCAAGCTGAACCACAACGCTGCCTTTGTGAACATCCCCATGGGTCTGGAGGGAAACATGCACGGCATCATCGACCTGATACAGGAGCGGAGCACGTACTTTGAAGGACCCTTTGGGTGAGAGATTTGACAGAGAAAAGTTTTTTTTTTAATTAGCTCTGATTGACAGCTACTAATGTATGTAACTTACGTCTTCTGGAATGTTCTGGTTCAGTTTCATCTTCAAGAAAGAGTTAGAGTAGAGCACCTGGAGAGTCATTTTATTGTTCCACTCTGCAGTCAAAGTATTCGCTACGATGAGATCCCTGCTGAGTTCCGTGCAGAAGCAGCTGATCGGAGGCAGGAACTTGTGGAGTGCGTGGCCAATGCTGATGAGATCTTAGGAGAAATGTTTCTGGAAGAGAAAATTCCCACCAATGATGACTTGAAGGTTTGTTTTTCTAAAAAATATGTTAAGATCTTAAGGCAGCTGAGACAGACGCAGCAGCTTTATTTGTCATTGAACATATAGACACACACAAAATAATATGGCAGAATAACTGCCTTACTCATCCACTAGGTAGCAGCAGATGGCTATTGGCTATTGTAACAAAAAAAGAGACTCAGAGCTGTTGACAAATGTCTTTTTGTCTTTCCTTAATTCCTGTGAGTATATCGGCATTGTGTTCAACTAAACAGACTCAGACTTCGCACTGAGAGATGTGTGGGCTAATCAAACTAGACAGTCATCATATTCCATTACATATACAGTACTTTTTGGGACATTTTTATATGTTGGTAAAATGCTGTGCTAGGCACATTGCCCCAAAAAGTTGTAGATAGGTTGTATGGGGTTCGAACCCTCAACCTTGTAACAACACTCAAAGTTAAACTGAATAATTTTAGAAATGACCTAAAGATAATGGGTGAGACCAGGACAGATCTAATTATTGATTCTATATTATTTATTTATTGAAGTCGTGGGACAGATTCCCAGCACTGTTGTCTCATACCTGTCCTTCTGTCCATGTTGCCCCTGCGTCGTCTTCCAGGCTGCCATCCGCAGAGCCACGCTGCAGCGTCTTTTCTCTCCGGTGCTGGTGGGAACGGCCCTGAAAAACAAGGGAGTGCAGCCTCTGCTGGACGCCGTCCTGGATTATCTACCGGACCCCAGTGAGGTCAAAAACTACGCCATCCTGAATAATGAGTGAGTCTGACGACAGACAGGTTTGGTGAAATCAGAATAATCTTTTTAAAGGTTTTGAGCACTGATATTGTTGGGGTTTTTTTTCTGTGGTAGAGAGTCAAACGAAACGACAAAGATTCTAATGGACCCCATTAGAGACGTTGTCAATCCTTTTGTCAGTCTGGCCTTCAAACTTGAGGTAATCATCTGTTTCTTTTCTTTTATCTTCACGATAAATTTACTCCTGATTAATTTTTTATGAGAAATTGTTTTGTCAAATCCAGGCTGGCAGGTTTGGTCAGCTGACCTATGTGCGAGTTTACCAGGGCTGTCTGAAGAAAGGAGAATACATCTACAACACACGCACCAACAAGAAAGTCAGAGTTCAGAGGCTGGTGCGTCTCCACGCCGACCAGATGGAGGTAAAAAACGTCAGCTGTGTCTGAGGCTCAACTTTAACATCTGCGGGTGGAAACAGCAGCGTTTTAAATTAGTCATTTCATGACAGTTCCTCGTTTTGACTTTAAATCAAGTTAGTTATGACGACGACCTTGTGACCCCTAAATCACCTGTAACTATTACAAACAGAACGTAGTTTAACTGTATAAAATTGAATTCCTGACTTTTAAGTAGAAAAGTATCGCCTTATTGAATTTTGAATTTATATTTTCTTTCATGTCACACGTTGACTTGTTGGGATGCTGCTTTGTTGGTTTCTTAGGCAATACATTTTAAAATATATTGCCCTGAAAATAAAGACACAATTCTGAGATCAAACGTAGATTATAGGCATATTAATGTCTTAGCTTTTCTTTTTAACATTTTAAGAACATTTTTACACTAATATTTCCCATTCGACATTGACATTCTCTCTTTTCTCTTCTTTTTTTTGGATTGATTTCAAAGGATGTAGATGAAGTTTATGCCGGAGACATCTGTGCTCTGTTTGGAATCGACTGTGCCAGTGGAGACACCTTCACAGTCAAGAGCAAAGACAACCTCTCAATGGTGAGACGGAGTTGTGTTTCTCATGGACTGATGACTTGGAGAGAACACGTCATTCTATTTTATTGTTTTTGTTTTTTTCTCCTTCCACAGGAGTCGATTCACGTCCCAGAGCCTGTTATTTCCATGGCAATGAAGCCGAGCAACAAGGTAGAACTGTCGCAAAGCTGGGTTCTCTATCTGTAACTGGAGAACCGTGTCTACAGATTAACGGAAATATTTAATAATTCTCTGTCACAGAACGACCTGGACAAATTCTCCAAGGGCATCAACCGTTTCTCCAGAGAAGACCCGACGTTCAGAGTTCATTTTGACACCGAGAGCAGAGAAACCATCATCTCAGGCATGGGGGAGCTGCACCTGGAGATCTACTCCCAGGTCATTATCTGTGCCACATTTTAAAGCCATTCCAAAAAAAGAAAAAACAAAAAAAATGTTTGGTTTGAGATGTAGACAAACGGAATTATTTAGTACAAATAACTTTATTTGTAAAACAAACTAAAATACCTGAGGGGTATTTTAGTTTTACCCCTGAGCTGGGGTTGAGGGGTAAAACTAAAATATTATATCACAGGGGAGTATTGCTGTTCAAATCTTAGCCCTAACCTGTGGTTCTGTTGTCTTGTTCCTTCAGAGGATGGAGAGAGAATATAACTGTCCCTGTGTGATGGGAAAACCTAAAGTAGCTTTCAGAGAGACCATATCTGCTCCTACACAGTAAGTCCATGGCCACACACACACACACACACACCGAAACACACTGGGCCTTTTCATAGCAGAGCGTAGTTCCAAAGTTGTCCAGTGGTAGTTTTACTGGTTATTACTTGGTTTATTTTGATAGGAATTATAAATTCTTAAAATAAATATATAAATAAAGGCAATATTTTACTAATATAAAATGTACTTTTACAGTTAGGGTTATTTGAATTTTGTATTACTTTTTTGAAAAAAATACACTTTCATCTCAGTCTACAATAGTGTGTCGGTTGCTAAGACTGTAGATTCCCCCATTGTGGAACAACTAATACTTAATTATTATTATTATTATTATTAATAATAATAAATTAAGGACAGTACAGTTCAATGTTATCCGCCCTGAAACAGTTCTTTGAACTTGAGTCCTCACATTCTCAGACCTCAAGCTGTAGAAGTCTGTTTGAAACACTGGTCTTAACGGGTATATAAAAACAGGAAATTTCACACATGTGACACATTTCAGGTATTGACATTTTATTTGGGCAGAATTTTCTTAAACACTTCAATACCGCAGGTGAAGTATGTAATCATTTATTATCATATTCTCTGATGTACGTCGGTAAAAACAAAAAAGAACCCCATCACAAACACACAGTTTGGTTGTTGCTGCAGCGTGAGGACAGTTGGCAGTTCAGTTTGTCTCAGGAAGTTTACAGTTATGGCACTTAGGCAGATGCTGCATCTGCAGCACTCTGACTCCCTCTGTAGGGGACCAGGTGAACTGCATTCTCCAACGAGGGATTTCCTGTCAACACAAAACAGATTGTTAGATTAAATTTCTAAATTTGATTTAAAGTGTTAAAACATTGACCAGTATTCGTATTTACATTTCTTCTTCTTCTGATCTGTGAGTTCTTACCTGAGACACCATGTCATGCAGCAGTATGTCATATTCAAACTTCAGCTGCTCGTTCTCAGTTTCCTGCAACAGACGACAGAAAAATACAATTCAGTGAGGTGCTCAGCATCTTTGGTATCAAGTCAGCAGTCAGTGACTCACCAGCTGTGTGACGTTGGCCACCTGAGCCATGTTGTACAGAGTGTTTTCAGTGGACTGGTTCAGCATGATGAAGCTGGATGCCACGATGCCCAGGTGCCACAGAGGCTCCATGCCAGGTTCAATGTGACCGTGACTGTCTGTTGTTACAATGTCAGTCATGAGAGGGAATTTAAAAAAAACAAACTTTTGCTGGTGTTAATAACTAGCTTTAGATATGTACTTGGGTACAAAGTAATTTGTTTGGTGAAGCAGTATTTTTTTTTCCATTCTCTATTGTCCATAGAATAATGTGCTTTTAAACGACCTTTAGGCGGTTCTTGAACTTGACATATGTTTTTATAAAAAATTATGTACACAAACAGTACGAAAGAAACATTTTTAAAACATCTGTTCATTTAAACAAATTTTTTTCTGAATTATATCGTACTAAACGCAAAGGTGACCTCACTCATGGTTATCGTTTCCTCAATTTAATTAGAAATATCCGATAAAATCAGCTGATCGGAATTATCGACCAGATATTAGCATAATTATGTAATAGCTGTATGAATCGTTCTCGGTTGAAAACCCGATAACGGGTGCCTATGTTTAGCCAAATGATGTGTGGCATAAAATAGTTTTGGGTATAAACGGCTGTATATGAAAGTGAAAATCACTAGATGGCAGCATTGCAGCTCATTTGATTAATCTATTTTAATAATCAGGGGACTTAATGCTCGTACAGGTAAATAAATAAACATTATCAGGCCTATATCGGTATCAGCAGATATCGGAAACTAAGTGTTTGGACAATATCAGCATATCGGCAAAAAGTTAACATCGGACAGCCCTACATTTAATATTGATTTTAGTGCAGGGCTCTGATCGACCAATGACTACCTCAGTGTTTGCTGGTCCAGTGTTCATATACGTAGGTCATACCTGGTAAATTCTGTGAAACCAGGCTTTGGTTGACCTTGTTCTGTTGGTACCAGGCCTCCTCTTGGGCTTTAGTATCAATTGCCAACGGTTCCTGACATGAGATTGTGACCACAGGTGTGTGCTGCTGCTGCAGCCGCTGCTGCTGGTACCACAGCTCCTGCAGCTGCTTCTCTGTCGCTTCATCCAACTTGGGAAAGAACACCTCTGCAGAGGATTTCACTGATTTCTGTAAGGTTACAAATAACAGTAAAGTCACAGAAGTCAGTCAGTCTGGAGAGCAGTAGTAAGTCAGAGTGTGGAGAACAAAGGCGTGCTGTCAGTGAGTCAGTGTTTGAACTTTAGATATGTACTTGGGTACAAAGTAATTTGTTTGGTGAAGCAGTATTTTTTTTTCCATTCTCTATTGTCCATAGAATAATGTGCTTTTAAACGACCTTTAGGCGGTTCTTGAACTTGACATATGTTTTTATAAAAAATTATGTACACAAACAGTACGAAAGAAACATTTTTAAAACATCTGTTCATTTAAACAAATTTTTTTCTGAATTATATCGTACTAAACGCAAAGGTGACCTCACTCATGGTTATCGTTTCCTCAATTTAATTAGAAATATCCGATAAAATCAGCTGATCGGAATTATCGACCAGATATTAGCATAATTATAAATGCAGGTTTTTCCCTTTAATTAGAAATATCCGATGAAATCAGCTGATCGGAATTATCGCCCAGATATTAGCATAATTATGTAATAGCTGTATGAATCGTTCTCGGTTGAAAACCCGATAACGGGTGCCTATGTTTAGCCAAATGATGTGTGGCATAAAATAGTTTTGGGTATAAACGGCTGTATATGAAAGTGAAAATCACTAGATGGCAGCATTGCAGCTCATTTGATTAATCTATTTTAATAATCAGGGGACTTAATGCTCGTACAGGTAAATAAATAAACATTATCAGGCCTATATCGGTATCAGCAGATATCGGAAACTAAGTGTTTGGACAATATCAGCATATCGGCAAAAAGTTAACATCGGACAGCCCTACATTTAATATTGATTTTAGTGCAGGGCTCTGATCGACCAATGACTACCTCAGTGTTTGCTGGTCCAGTGTTCATATACGTAGGTCATACCTGGTAAATTCTGTGAAACCAGGCTTTGGTTGACCTTGTTCTGTTGGTACCAGGCCTCCTCTTGGGCTTTAGTATCAATTGCCAACGGTTCCTGACATGAGATTGTGACCACAGGTGTGTGCTGCTGCTGCAGCCGCTGCTGCTGGTACCACAGCTCCTGCAGCTGCTTCTCTGTCGCTTCATCCAACTTGGGAAAGAACACCTCTGCAGAGGATTTCACTGATTTCTGTAAGGTTACAAATAACAGTAAAGTCACAGAAGTCAGTCAGTCTGGAGAGCAGTAGTAAGTCAGAGTGTGGAGAACAAAGGCGTGCTGTCAGTGAGTCAGTGTTTGAACAACACTGGTTGGCAGAGAATGAAGGCTTTCTTTGAACTCTTCTAGAATAAATCTTACCCAAACTGGCCATACCTGCTCCGTGTGAAAACAGAATTTATTCTGCTGTACACAGAACCCTTCAAACATTTTCTCAAATGACTAAGCACAAAATCCGTCTTCATTTTCACTGTAGTAGTAGAGGTCAGGTGAACTTACTTTGCTAATCATATCCTTTACTGAGAATTCCACCTGGTACTTTCTGCCAGAGTCAGTCACGTTCTGGAAGCAAAAACATGAGATTGTGACCACAGGTGTGTGCTGCTGCTGCATGATCTGATTGGCTCTGATCTTTAAGACCACATTCAAATGTGGTCGACGTTTCAGTGTTAAAGACCAGCTGACCTCTGCAGTGGCACTGTGGACCGTGTCCAGGTGGAACACCTTGTACGGTGAGCCGTAGCGGGTGTTGAGGTAGTGTTGGACCACCCGGGCTGCTCTCCGGGCAGGATAGTGATCGGGGTTCAGCACACCGGTTTCCATCTCATCCTCCTGGGGCTCGTTCAGGTCTGACTCTTGGATCTGTCAATTCATTATGGACCAAGAACAGAGACACAGTGAGGACTGAAGAAAACCAGAGCAGGGATGGGCGTCCAGACCCTGAAGGACTTTGACCTCAAATAGTTAACAGGGTGGAGTCCCCATCTAAGCCAGTCTCTGTCCAGATAAGACATGGAAAAATCTACTGAACGGATTTAAAGGAGTTGAAGTGTAGGACGTGGTTTGTCGTCGTTTAAATAAAGTTTAGAAATTTCAGTCTGTACCTGAACTGTCGCCCCCCCGTACCCTGATAGTTACCTGATTGGTGGAAAGTCTTCTCTGTTCCGTGTTCAGTCAGCCGGTCCTCATGCAAGAGGAAGGCTGACTTCCCACTTCCTGTGACAGCAGAGCTCTTTAAGGACGGCCCCTTTTTAAAGATGCAGAACTCTTTTTAGATGTTCTAACAGCACGAAGATTTCAACCAATCAAATTGAACCAAGGACACTCAAAATCCCCATTTAGTGAATTATAATGAAATGTATTAATAATCATCTGAGATCATCTAATCAAAGTCTTGCTCTGTCACACAGCTCTGTCACCTAAAGGACAATTTCCCCTGTGTGTCATAGGTTTGAGTTCACTCATAAGAAGCAGAGTGGTGGTGCGGGTCAGTACGGTAAAGTTATTGGAGTCCTGGAACCTCTGGAGCCAGAAGAGTTCACCAAACTGGAGTTTGAGGACCGGAGTATAGGGACAAATGTCCCCAAGCAGTTTGTGCCTGCAGTTGAAAAGGTACGTTGGTACTTTTTTTTACTGCTACTATTAGAAAATGTGATTTTTGTTGTTTGTTTTTGCTCATGCTTTTGATCAGTAATTGTGTTTGAACACTCCAGCTCCATGTGCAAAACTTGGGTTTGGTTATGGCTTTGTTATGTTTTTTTTCTTTTCTTTAGATAGTATAATACTGTTATGTTTTTTTCTAATTTTTTTTCTTTTCTTTAGATAGTATAATTTTTTGTCTTTGATTTGATTAGAAATCTCATTTTAATTTTGATTCCTCCATCTTTAAATTCTTCTTTTGTCTCTGCCTCCATGTTCCTTCCCATCATGCTGCAGGGCTTCAGAGAGGCCTGTGAAAAGGGACCACTGACTGGACACAAAATCTCAGGAGTCAGGTTCGTCCTGGAGGACGGAGCCCATCATATGGTCGACTCCAACGAGATCTCCTTCATCCGGGCAGGAGAGGGCGCTCTGAAGCAGGGTGGATTTTACACTCATTTCTGCTCTTGTTGTTGTTGTTGTTGTTGTTGGTGGTGGTGGTTTGTGCTAACGATGTCATCACTGCAGCGATGGAAAAAGCCACCCCCTTCATCCTGGAGCCAATCATGTCCGTGGAGATCGTGGCTCCGCAGGAGTTTCAGGGAGCCGTCATCTCTGGGGTGAACCGTCGGCACGGTGTCATCACCGGACAGGACGGGTCTGAGGGATACTTCACTCTGTACGCCGATGTGAGTCCTGGTGGTTTCACGCGGTCGACGTCCACAGCTGGATGTATCTGATCAGACTTCAGGCTCTAGTTTAGTGACATCTCCCTGTTTCTGCCCACAGATTCCACTGAATGACATGTTTGGCTATGCTTCTGAACTACGCTCCAGCACTGAAGTAAGTCCAACGTTGATACATCACTGAGTGGATCACTAATGGGTTTTTTTAAAGGCTTTTGGGGAAAATTCACATCAGTCTTATAAATAATCCTTAATTAATCTGTGTTTATCCAATAATTCCACCATTAAGAAAATACAATGAAAATGTGATCATGTCATATTTAGGAACATTGATTAATCATGATTAGTTGTGATTATTTACATTCACAATTAACTCACATTAAATCACAATTAATGGTAATTAATCAACAGCTAATTATTAGGATATTAATTTTTTTGGATATGAACTGATGTTTGTCCTGGATTAGTCAGGACACTGTGAAAAAGAAGCCGATGTTCTCTAAGACTGTTCATGTTTATCCAGGGAAAAGGAGAGTACACCATGGAGTACAGCAAATATCAGCCCTGCCTGCCAGCTACGCAGGAAGAACTCGTCCACAAATACTTAGAGGCCACGGGTCAGCTGCCTGTGAAGAAGAACAAGTGGAAGAACTGAGGCTGGTCCCCGTGGCCCAGCTGGACCCTGTTATGACACCTGCCATTTTCTTTAGAGCCAACCCCACTTCCCTTTCCTTTGGTAAACAGATGTTATATTTATTACTTTGATTTTAGCACGGTCTGACGCCTGGGCTGTGTTTTTAAAAGAGAAGATTAAGTCCGCTCAGCGTGTTGATCTGAGCTCGGAATTACTTTTGTGCTGAACTGCGGCCACACACACACACACTCACACACACACAGCTTCTCACAGAAGACACACATACTCTACAATCATGTCTTATACTGCAGTAACAAACCTCGTTGGTAGAGTCAGGACTCACTCCTCCGTCCACTGCTGCACCGGTTGGATTTACGGTCTGGTTCTGTGACGTAGCCTCAGGTGCGACGGTTGAACTGGGACTGCCGGTGACCGCACTCATCACCGCCAGGAACATGAGAATCCTCAAAGACATTGTGGTGTCCTGGGGAGACGTCGCAGAAAGAGTGGCAGCACTGGTGTGAATGAATCCGAGCAGAGGAACGATCCGCCCATCAGTGTGGAGTTATATAATGAAGAGGATGGAGGGGGGGGTCCTGCTGACTTCCTGGCACCATCTTCTCATTTTAATCTCTCTGACTAAACAAACTGCTCCGTTTTCTCTGGGTCTGGTTTTTGTTCGTCTGCGTGCTCACTTGAACGGTCGCTGCTGAATGTTTAGACAAGGTGATAAGTTGAGGAGGAGCAGTTCATCAAGCAGGTGTGAACGATGAGGTCAGATTGATGGGATGCAGCCTTGTCAGATTTCCCTTCACTAAGAAAACATTTATTTTCCAAATTGATACAAAATTAAACTTTGTAACTGTATCTTCACATGTGATGAGACGAAGAGGAAACTTCTGCTCTGGGATTCTTCAAATTGCTGAGTTGATAAGTCGGTAAGAGTTACGGGAAAATGTTTGGTTTTTTCATCTGTTTTAGTCAGAATCTCATCAGTGTTTATATCATTTTCTACATCACGTGTACAGAGAAATGCCCAACAAAGGGTAAGAAAACTTTTATTATTGTAACAAACCCAGAAAATTAGAATGAGAGCAGAGAATATTAAGAAATTTACACTGTGTAAAATATTCTGTGAGCTCCTCGTCCTCTTTTTTTCGTTCTATTCTTAATTATGTCATTGTTAAACTCTGTGTTTGTCCCTTTTATTATGAGTGAAAGTATTTTCATGGATGTGCAGTCGAATTAAAACTACCAGGAACCCACAGTTTAAGACCAGTTTGATAAATCAGTGAGGAAACAAAGGAACCACATTTGAAAGATTTTATTTTCTGCTCAATGAACGCTTTTGTTTAATGCAATGCAAACATATTTTTCAAAAATACATGAATAAAATACTAAAAAAGTTAAATGATGTGAAACACTGCATCAAACAAAGCAATCAAGTAATACTAAAAGTTGGCCAAAACAGACAGTGAATAAAGAACCAGAAGGAGGTGAAGGTAATTATATAAAATAATAAATTAGACCTAGAAAGGATCCAAACTCCTGTACAAAACAAAGAATTGACACCAACATAGCAGAGCAGGTGTTTATGCTCCACGTACGGTAATTTATCTTTCACTGCTTCATCTTGATAAAGGTCAGAGGTCGAGAGACGACAGGTCGGACACACCCTAGCCAGGTCAGCAGGCAGTCACAGGACAAACACAGAGACATAAGACTGCTGCAGTCGTGATAGTTATGATGCAATGATTTTAAAAACACGCACAGCCCATCCCAGGGAGCCTGCTCTTCTTCCTCCTCTTCTTCACATGAGGCATCTGTTGTGACTTTGACAACCGTCGGGCGTCACCTCCGCTGCTCTGATCTCTCTCTGAGACCTCCGTCTCTGCCCTTCTATCCTTTCCCAGCTGAGAGCCCTGAGGCAGATTATCCACCAGCTCGTAGAGAGTGAAGACACTGAAGCAGATTTCATCGTAGGCCGTTTTACTCCCACATTCAAACAAGCAGGCGAAGGCCACGGCAGGAGCCGCTCCGTCTGACGACGGCAGCGCCCCCGCGGGCCGGGCGGGGGGGGCGCC